GCACTTCCAGTGACTCTTCTGCCCAACAGGTGTTACGCAGTGTTTTACCAACTTTGGTTTAAACATTAGGTTTTTTCTTGCCTTTATGTTGATTATTCCTATTCTCCTGTAAATTTGCTTCTGCCAGATGTCTTGACAGATCTCTCTAGCACAGTAACTAGGCAGATTGAAGTCAAAGCCTTCACCTAACATGTGGTGAAGCTTTTAGGTTGCAATTAATATGTAGTGGAAAATCTTCCATGAAGTAGGATTGGCTAGTGTTATCTTGAATGCGGTTATGCAGTGGAGTCCTTGCTTAATTCTTAAGCTATCCTTGGAAGATTTTCCATTTAATTTGATTTAACACTGGGGAGCAGGGGGCATGGCTGATATTTTGAGTTGAAACTACTTTTTTTAGCACGGAAAAAAAAAATGGTTACATGTTACTATTCAGATTATCAATGCATAGGAAGGAAAACAGAAGCCATAAAACGTAAATCCTTGGATTGTTAAAATAAGTTGAGCTGGCACTGCAGTGCACTTCAATGAGTGAGCAGATTGTGCAATTTAAATCTCGTATCAGACTTAGTGGTTTGGAAATTAATTATAGGATGATGGAAGAAGTTAACTTGGAAAATTCTTTAAACTGCTGTAGCTAGCAGTACTTTTTACATAAATATAGAAGCAAGTAGTGTATACAGTTGACTTAAACTTAGAAGTTAGTTTAACTATAAGCTAATATGTCTTACTGCAGGAGCTTGTTCTGTGAGAGTCATGTTAGGTCTTCTGAGATGGAGGAATGGCCACGCATGGAGGGTGCATGAAATGTAGATGCACAGGAAGGCCAGAATGAAAGGCTGATTTTGACCTTATGGGGATATGTCTATTAGAGGTCACAGATCCAGGGGTGAGTGGCTCTCTTCAGCTGAAGAGGCCTCCTTGCCTACGTGATGCTACTTGCCATGTTCTCTTCCCAAGATCTTTTGCCTTGTGGGCCGTGTATCACTGTATGCTTATGACGAAACCTGAGTGTAGTGGCTGCCCAGATTTCTGTTGTTTCTGTCTCTCACTGTCATCTCAGTGACTTTGTGAGCCTTCCTGGGGAAATGCAGGGGAGGAAGGAGAAGAGGTGGTTTGGAGCTGATCATCTTATAATAATTGTCCAGTTCTTCTCTGGGCATCAGCTTTTTTGTAAGGTAAGCTTAGGGAATGGCTGTTATCCTGCTGGAGTCTTTTGCACCCAGTTTTTGCAAGTCCTACTGACTTAGTTTTGTTTGATTTTTTTGGTCCTTTTTTTTTCCTGGCAACTGTCTGCTACTGGGTTCTGTGTTGGATATTGAATTGCCTCACACACTGACATTTCTTGCTGTAGTGTGCACACTTCGCAAGCTCTCGTGGGAGGGATTGGGCAGTCTCCACTAAACAAAAAACCCAGCAACTACAAAAAACCCACCCCAAGGCACACACAAAAAATCCCACTAAAGATTAAGTTATATAACCTATATAGTAATGTTCCTAATGTTTTTTATTACAGTATGAGGAGTTTGCTCTTGTTTTTAGTGAAGTCAGCAGAGCTCTGATTAAGTTCACTCTGATTGCATTGACTTTCCAATTGACTTTAAGCATCATGTGAAAAGTATTAGTGTTTGCTCTGTCAACCTACAAAATAATAACCTGGGAAATCCCAAACTTTGTTAGCCAGTTTCGTAATTCAGATACAGAGTTGGGCTCAGCAGGGTTTTTTCTGAGGTTTTAGAAAGTGAGATTATACAGGCATGCCATCAGAAGGTTTGTTAAAGACCCTGAGAGTGCAGTCCAGAGAAAAGACCCCACAAATTCTGCTTCAGGATGTTTTTGTTTTCTGCCTGTCAACAAATTATACTATGCTATGAAGATTTATAATAGGGTACTAATAATGTTACTTGGTGTTCTGGATGGAAACTATGCACACAGAGAACAATTAGATCTGAAAGTTTATTTTAAGGCGGTAATGCAAGTAAATGCTCTGTTCAAGGTTTGTATTTGTGGTTATGACTTGTTAAAATGGAAATGGAAAAACAAACAGGAAAAGCAGGTGAGATGAGTTGATTATGGAATATAGCACCATGTCTTGAATTTAAACCAAGCACAGAGACGATAATAATTTCCCGTAAATGCATTTGTCAGACTTGTTCATACTTTTAGAAACAAGGCCCCCAATCATGTCAAATGTGCAAAAGTAGAATAAAAATAAATTAAAACCTAATTTCCTTATCTTCTTCAGTTTGAGTTCTGTGATTGATTTTTTTTTTCATGTTTGTGCTCTGAAGCTCAGTGGTCTTATGAGTATTTAGGCCATAGTGAAGCTCTAAACTGATGGTGTTGCTCTGATTGAACAGACAGCTTAAGCAGGTGCACATGTCTTCTCCTGGCTAATGAAGTGTCCATGTTTATTGGAATAGCCCACTGAATCAGGGCTACAAAACCAATGGACTTTTCAGTTTTTGCGCCTTCTGACTTTTACTTAAAACTGTGTATTTTTAGTATTTGTTGGAAATTCACATGCCAGTACAATAAGGTCTGATTGACAGGGACCTTTCTAGGCTTCCCCAGAGCAACTGGATGCTCTGTATGTCTAAAGAAAATCTTGAGGGAAGGAAAACAAAGTTTATTATGGCTAAGTGAGATGCTTGTAATATTTGCTTCTAATACTCCGTTTTTGTCAAAACTCCTGACAGACTTTCCCTTTATACTTGATGGGTACTCAGTAAAAAGGCAGGGGTATTCCACAGGCCTGAGTTTATCCAGATACTTTCTTAAGATTACTGTGATTTCTACTCCACCATGCTTGTTTTAGTAAAGGATTTATTTAGTTTTGCTTGATGTGACTTGAAGAAACTTATCCCTTGATGTCAAACACAGAGTAAAAGCTAGGTATCAAAGCAGAGATTTCTACTCTAGTTTCCAGTAATGAGTTGCCCACAAAAGGATATAGTTGCCCGTGGTTTCTGAATGTTTGTTCCTCTGCTTACTTAGAAAGTCTTCATTATATGTATACCCAGGGAGTTTGAGGTCTAGTTTATTCTTCTTAATTGCAGTGGCCTACAGGAGCAGTAGTTTGTTTTTGTTTTTAAAACATAGCATTTGTAAGTAGTTGGAAGAAACAGAAATAATAATTCATGCTTTTTTACTGTATAAACTATTAGGTTGTAATTTAGCCCGGTGTATAGATGAGTATATTAAGAGTTTTACAAAATGCTGATTAGATTAAGTGCCCAATTTGTAATTCTTAATTTATAGCCTTTTGAGGTATTATTAACCTTGTTACTAATCATATATAAGATGAATAAGTTCCATGACTGGGGCATGAATTGGATGAGGCTTGTGCATAGCTATGATAATAAGCTGTGGACATAGTAGTAATCTCATCTGATGAGCAACGTTACCTTTTATTAGTCTTGCTGTTGCCATGTGACTTTTTCTTTTGAGCAACTGATGATGGATATTGAATAACCCTCCTAAACTTGCCCTCAGGGTTCTCCTCTGCTGCTGTGGGAGAGAGTGGTTAGGCTGTGGCCCTTCATACTTCTTTGGATCAGGTGAAAAATGAGGGTGTTTCCCTTGAAGTGCCCAAAGTGCTAGACAGGAAATAAGGGCAAGGACTGACTCCCTTGGTTTCAAATAGTCAGTGGAGCTTTTAATCCTGTGGGTGCCTTCAGGAAAAGGATGGGGGCTAATTCTGCATTTGAGAGCAAGAAAAATGTTTGAGCAACACTGAGAGGAAGCAGTAAAGACAAAGAAATGATACTCTAAGTTTCCAGGGGTGGGAGTTCTTGGAATAAAATTTTATTATTGATAACATTACCAAAACTGTATTCCTTATAGAATCATGACTGGGCTTTGCGAACGAAGATTTGGGAAGGGCTCTACCCACGTTTGTTACAAGTGCGCTGGTGGCTAAAAAGGCCAATACGAGACAGGCATGTCTGGTTGCAAAAGGCACAGCAGAAAGACTCCTTAGGTGGTAAATTCTGCAAGGCACAATTCTTTCTGCATTGTCTTTTCTCCTCGAGAGTGATCCTGCCTGCGTTCTCAAAAGAAGCAGCAGTGTTATAGATGGTGTGTCTCCAGGCCTCCTTTCTGGAGGCCAGAGTAGACCAGTTATGTTGATCAATATGGCCAAGGCTGAGATGATGTTTCAGGGAGTCCTTGTATCTTCTCTTTGGGGCTCCTCTCATGCAGCAGCCGGTGGCAAGTTCACCATAGTACTGTTGAACTAGATAAAACAGCTTTTTTCCCTGAAGACATACTCTTGTTTTCCCAGCATTGGTCTCTAATGGTTTAAGCACAGTCATCTACTTTGTGTTAAATTTTCAGGTACAGTCATGAAATCATAAATCTAATCCCTCACATTTTAATGGGGAAACAGGGAATAATGTGGTCATTCTTGTAATGAAGAAGGTGCAAAAGGTAGTCTGAGTCTGAAAGGGCTGAATTGGGCAGTCTGTCATACTCATTAACTTAATCTGTAAATTTTTCTCCAGTTTGGGGCTAGTTTTCTTGTGAATCAGAGTGAGTTTGTTTTGACTACTGTATCAGTGAGTGGGGTGAGAGAAAATGAATTGCAAAGCAACTTTCCCTCTTTCCCTCCCCCCCCCCTTTTCTCTCCACTTTGTGTGAAAGTGGCCTGATCCTCCTCCCACCTGTTTGGCCCAGAAAAGTTAATTCATTTGTGCTACAGTTGAAAAGGATGTATGCCAAGTACTGTGGGCACATGCATCATACAGGACTGTGTAGTGGAGATGCTGGAGTCTGCACTGAAACAAGACATGGTTTCCTAAGCAAGTGGAGGCAACTTTTGCTGATTTGTGACAAATCAATATTTATGCACGAGGTCCTGTAAAAACACAAATTTATGTCTCTGCTGATTTGCGTGCACGTATACTGAGCTCTTTTGCATAGTCTGGAGATGCCTTGCTGTAGTTTGGATGCACTATTCTTATATTATGAAGAAACATGATTTCTTTCTGTTTATTCTTCAGGCAACAAGAGCCTCTCTGACTCAACATTGTACCAGTCTGGGGGAGTCACTGGGCAAGGAAAATGATATTGCCCTGATTATTGATGGCCACACACTGAAGTATGCCCTTTCATTTGAAGTCAGGCAGAGCTTTCTGGACTTGGCACTCTCCTGTAAAGCAGTCATTTGTTGCAGGTAAGAAATTTCTGTGACTTTTTCAAGTAACAAAATGGGTGTGAAGCCTGTGAAGTTCAACCTATTACTATGCACCCTGCTATGAAGCAGGTTGCTTATTAGTGTCTTCCTTGCTCCTATGGAGGAGGAAGCAAGTCCTCCACTAAAATTGTTATCGAATAATGCAGTTCCTCCTGCCACATTCAGTCCCAATTGAGTTCGATCTCTTTTATGAACTGATGAAAGATCATGAGAAAACATTGTGCCTGATTGCCTGATTATAGTAGACACTGATGAGGAGGAATAGTATGGATGTAGTCATTTGTAAGCAAAAAGTTTGTGTTACTGTTCAGTTCAGCTCTAGAGAAGGTCTCTGGATGAATTTGTCTTGACTTAAAATTTTATGTTATGTGAGCATGTGGGTAACAGTGCAATTTGCCCTATTTAAATGTTAGACTTATGCTTGCTTTACGATGTCACAACAGAATTTATTGCCTTTTGTGGATTTAGCTGTACACAGATGTGATCCTATGTCATGACTACTTCAGAAGAAGGAAATTAGAGCCTTCCTAGAAATACAAAAATGAAAACCAAAAGTTGACCTGTTTTATTTTATGGCAGGAGGGCTGCATAATTTTTAACTTGGAAAGATCGTGCAGCTTTGAAGACTGTATATGTATTTGTGCTCGTTCCTGGTATCTCGGGAAAACTGTGACCTAGAAGGAACTGTTGATTTAGGCAGACAGGAAGTTTTATCTGCATCCAGAAGCAAGACCTGCTCTGTGGGGAATGACTGTATGGAGACCTTGCACTACTGTTTTGCAGCCTTACTTATCTTTATGTGTATACTATCATACAAGTATGACATGGCAAAAGCAATTGCTGTCCATGCACCTAAAGTAGGTAAACCCATGGGCTTCTGTCTGACTAGCTTCTTTCCAGATGTCTCCTGGACTACTGTACTGCAGGGCACAGTACTGGGGCTAGTGCTGTTCAGCATCTTCATTAATGACCCGATGATGAGATGGAGGATGCCCTCAGCAAGTTTATAGATGATACAAAGCTGTGAGGAGTGGCTAATAAACCGGTGGCTGTGCTGCCATGCTGAGGGACCTTGACAGGCTGAAGAATTGAGCAGAGAAATCTTATGAAGCTCAAGAAGTGGAGATGCAAAGTCTTGTGCCTTGGGAGTTACAGCGCCTTGCACCAGCAAACTGTGGGTGTTGCTAAGCTAGAAAGCACCTTTGTCCAGAAGGATCTTCGGGTCTGGGTGGACAAGCTGACCATGAGCCAGCATGAATCCTGGTGGCAAAAAAAGGTCAGCAGTACCCTGGGCTGCAGGGTAAAGAGCATTTCCAAAAACTGAGGGAGGTGATCCTCCTTCTCCACTTGGCATTGGTGAGGTCACATCTGGAATGCTGTGTCCTGTTCTGGGATCCTTAATAGAAGATGCAAACAGGTTTAATGGTGTCCATTTAAATGGAGTCCAGTGCAGGAACCACAAAAATGATACAGGGGCTAGAGCATCAGCATCTCCTCATAGAGCATATGAGGAGAGGCTGAGAGAATTGGAAGTGTTCAACCTAGAGAAGGCTCAGAGGGTATCAGTTTGTACTCTCTGATACTCAGTGTATCAATTTGTATGAATATATAATAACAGTGAATGAAGATGCAGGAGACAGGCTCATCTCTGTAGCACTCAGTGACAGGACAAAATGCAGCAGACAAATTAAACCACATCGATGTCTGTCTCAACACAAGCAAAACCCTACTGTTTTACTGGGAGTGTGGTCCAGCACTGGAATGGGTTTCCCAGAGGGGTTGTGGAGTCTCTGTTCTTTGAGACATGGAAAATTCGACTGGATGATGTGGTGCTGGACAACCTGCTCTAGCTGATCCTGCTTTAGCCAGGGGCATTTCCAGCAGTCTCTTCTATATGTGGGTAATTCTAGGCTTCTGCAACTGGGGACAGGTGTCTCATTTTTTCCAGGCAATGCTTTTTGTCCTCCTAGTCCTGTTCTGAATGGTTGTCAACTTCAATGACTTTGTTAAACCGGGTTTTTAATACCAATTCTTTTGCTACTACTGATTGATAATTTCTTTTAAATTTGGGGAGGGTCCTAAAGGGAGAGGGCTTTAAGTGTTAGAACAGAGGGTCTTACTTTTGCAGCTGTTTCATGGGAGTGAACAATAGTGTTTTACAAGAGGGAAGTAACATAATTGCAGCAATCTTTTGAATGCAACAGGCCCAGATGTAGGTTCAGTAAGAGGGTTGGTGTAAAGTTACCTTGGGTTTAGAGAGCACCACGTGCCCAGGAAGGGAATTGACCCTGAGTGTAGACTTATGCTCTATTTGTGGGGAAGTTAATAAACCATGAGCAAATAGAAAACTCTTACTTTTGTACTCTATCACAGTGCTTTGGTAGAGATCCTTCCAAGGCAGTTTGTTAGTTTATTTTTCAAAGATTTGACAAGTTAAGTCAAAGACCTATGTAGCTGAAACAAATAATAAATTGCAAATTATTAAAATTATGCACAGAATATATGTAATTAAGATAATGAATGATCCTGTTTTGTAAAGAAACATGCAATACTGGGCATTTCCTCTCTTATTATTTCATTATGGGAAACAACAGGAGTTTTATTTATTACTGAATTAGCAAATTGAGGAACAATGCGGAAAAAATACTATAAAGTATAAATCAAAGGGGAAAAGATGATGTCATTTCATAGGCTTAAAAGGAGGAATGAAAATAACTGAGTTTTAAGTCCCCAGGGAAAAGGAGGAATGCTTTTAATAACCTTTAAGGCTTTGCAGGAACCTTCCATTTACTTGCCAGGTGCTTGGTACTGAGGCAAGAAAAACATTTATTTTTTTTTCTACTCTGGGTTGTTTGTGCGTAAAATAAGATAGTGCACTTAAATTTCACAGGAAAAAGTTTTAAAATGTAATTGGCATAGCAAGAGGAAATTTCAAATTAAATAGTTAGTCTTCAAACAAAAATGTTAATTGGGAGGGGGATCTGGGTGTTTAACTTAGTGGTATGATGTTTAACCACTCTAGGAGGAGTTGTTTTGCTATTCTTAACATTGCATAAATTTGTGACACTTAATATTTCATAAATTTACTAAAACATTTTCATCTCCTCTGGGGAGTTTCAGCTGCATTTTGCCATTCAATTTTTTTTTTTTAAATATACTTAAGATACACTGTATATTCATTTACTGGACTTTAGGCATAAACTGTAGCTGAACTTGATTCTCAGGGGTAATCTCTTAAAATGAAACTGTAGTAAACCTGGCTCCATTTTGCATTAAGAGGGAGAGATGGTATCTTGTGATAGGGTTAAGTCTTCCACTGTTATAGGATTTCTATCAGGCCACTGACACAGTGGAGAAAAATATACCCCTTGGGAGACTTGGTAAAGCAGGCAAAATCAAATCAAACAACTCTTTAAGAAAAAGCCTTGTTTGTTAAAAGTTTTTCCAGAAACTGACAGATCTTATTATCTTCCTTCATACTGACTGGGATGTTAGTATGTCAAGGGCAAGCAGAACTTACTTTTCAGTGGAAGTAAATGTTGTTTTGAGGGCACTTGAACTCCTGACTTCATTTATGAGATCTGAACTGTTGATTGCCTATCTCAGGTTTTCAAATGTTCCTTAAAGGACCTGTTTATATTGATGTTTTGTGAGAGAACTAAATGTTAAGGCTTACATAGAAGTGACATTATTTTTTTAATAACAAAATGTAGTGTTATCATTCTTCTAGTGTTTTTACACTAGCTAGTTTGTACAGCAGATTGCTGTTTTTGGCTTTGAATATAAAAGTAGCAGCAAAGTCTATAACTTGCGTGCTATGGCAGCATATTTAATTCTCTACTGAGGGGCCTGCCTTGAAATATTTGTAATTGAAATGTGTGGTGTTTCAGAAATACTTTTTTATGACTATGCTTTGGGAACTTTTTTTGTTGTTTAATAGAACTTTTCTACAGGTGACAGTGAGTCTGCCTTTGTATGGGTTTAATGCCATATTAACAAGACTTGCATCAGGAAGAAGCAATTAACCAGCATTTTAGATGTTAAATAATTCCAAGCAGTTTGTAAGTACTTCTGTACTTAAATATAATGGTTGGACAGTAGAGGTGGTCATTTAATTTCTCTTACAGATGTAAGCAGAACAAACCAAGCATCTCCAGAGTGGTGTGTAGCATAAGGCTGGGACCACATCTGTCATTGGGCTGCCTTAACATTGTTTCTTTTTTCTCTTGTATTACTGACCATTTCTGCAATACTGCTTGAGGTGATGGTGCTAGAATGTTGTTTCAGTGGAGTAATACTCTTCCAAACATAGACTTAGATCCTGCAGCTTTTCATCTGAGTGAATGAGTTGATGCCCTTGTACGTGGCATTTCAGGCAATAGGAAAACCAAGAAAAATGTCTCAATTGCTGTAAAATCTGTCAACTTTAACTTTCCTACTATACTTTCATCAGATGTCCTGTTCTGCGGAGATATCTATAAAGTGGTGTAGCATGAGCAGAAACTTAGGAAATCTAGCAACACCAATGTCTGTGGCTCTCTGCTATTTCCACAGGGGCTCTTGCCATCTCATAGCTACTACATCATCATGATTTTGCTTGCTTTTAGGTGTGAAAGGTGTGTGCAGTTGTTGCCCAGTATCTGAATACTGACTGGAGGGCTTCTGCCCAACCTCACCAACTTTGTTAGGTGATAGTGGCACAAACTGTTGCTTTCAGTACCTTGAGCTGTAGCAATAATGGTTGGGAACTGAGTAAAGAAGTAAACAAGATGAGAAAATGGTTGTTCTTTAAACAACCCACCAGCAACAACAAACTCCCCTGTTTTTCCATCTGCATTGCTAGTGTATGTAGTATGCAAGGGTAAGGACATGAGCCCACAAGCATCGCTTTGAGAACAGACACTACATATTCTGGAATGAACATACCCTTTGACTAGAGTGTGCCTGCTTGGGTGTTGGAAGGGCTTTAATGAACTGCA